CCCTACACTAAGTGACTTCTACAGATCCGTGATACTTCCTATCAACTCACTGAACACCAGGTAGTTTAATTGTAACAAAAACATTACTGCAGACAAACTAAGGGAGACTCAATCACACCTAAATCACACCTATAAATGTGCCTAACTGATTGTAAAGTTGCTGTACCAACAGCAGATCCTAGGACTGCAAGCGTGCAGCAGCTTGCCTTTCAGATAGGTATCACTTTCATCTATGTCCAAAAAACACTGCAACTGGAGCTGATACTCAATTTCACTGAAACTCCCAGGCCATCCTGTCCAAGTCCCCATCATTCAGTGCAGTCTCCAAACAGAAGCTGAAGCTAAACATCAGAACTGAGTGTTAAGTGAGTTTCATCAGCCAGCACCAGGCTTAGAGGTTTAAGTTCATCTCAATTTGTTTCAGGCTCCCTAATTTGAAATCTCAGCTAGCAGTTACCTTGACACTTTGGCCAAACTTAAGCAGTAGTTCAGCAGCTCAGGTATTTTTAATTTAGAAGTGTATAGCCTGAACTTCCTTGAGATAAAGCTTAAATTAAGTTCAAGTAGAGACATGGCAAACATGATTGCCAAAAGCCACCTTTGTCCAAAGGATTCTTTGCTAGTTGGAGATCTCTGCTCCTGCTAAGAGACCTGCTTTAAGCTAACAGAAGCCCTAGTCAAGCTGTTCAGAAACCACAACCGGACAATATTCAGAACTGTTCTGCAGCCAATTTTTGGTCCCTAAAATTGCTGCTCTCATTTATCCCAGAGGATTTTTCACAGAAATTTTTCATGCCTTCCCCTGCCTTTTACCTGCTAAATGATCAGCTGTGGATGGTTTGTCCAGTTTCAGCAGGGCTGCCTCAATAGCTTGGCTGAAGGAATTCTGGAAGCTGGGCACAGGTATGCGGTCAGGGCTGTCGCTTTCTCCATCACTGTCCACCGGCACAGGGAGTGCCAGAGCGTTCTCATCTGAAAGAAGGAAAGGGCCTTGAGAGGCAGAAGGCTGTATAAAACTTGCAGCGCAAATGCTCTTCCACACTCCAGAGATTTCTTGTGAGGTTACACGATTTCTTAGATTTAGATACATGGGAAAGAACCTGAAGTAGTAATACCGAATTTTCTTACCTCTTGTCTTTGGAGCAGGTTTGGGCCATGTTTCTGATTTTGCCTTTCCGACTCTCAACATCTATCAAAAAAGTTGTAAGATATGATTAAATGCCATGTACTAGAACAATCCTGCCTATCCCCTAAGTGGCAAGAAAATCTAGGAACCCCTTCAAGCACTCAAACCATACATTGTCAAGGTCCTTAAGATTTATCGCACATTGTTTTTGTGGGGGAAGTAATTGTGTTCTCAGACTAATCCCTAACTAAGACACAAGTAATCCTGACAAGATTTACTCTGCTACATAGCTTACCTGGGCAAAGGAAGGGAAGCGAGACTCTTCTTCTAAACTTCCACAGAGCGACAGGCTGACCTGGCTGGCAGCAGGTGACAGCAAAGTTGGGACAGACTCTACAAAGAAAGCAGCAGATAATTAAAGCCAGATGCATTTGTCAAGCAGCATAATGAGTACTCTTTATCAGGATGAAACAGAAATAAAGTTTTATTTTCTTATGTAATTAAACATTTTTATCTCATCAGTTTCATCCATTAGTCACACAGTGACTTTCCAATCTTTTTGAGATTTAAATCAAGTATTTTTTTGTTTTGGGGGTTTTTGTTTGCTTCTTTTGGGGTGTTGTGTGTTCTTTGGCTGTTTTGTTTTTTGAGAGAAACAAAATTTAAGAGTAGTTTCTACTTCATATGTTTATGAACTGCAAGATAAAAAATTTGGTAAAGCATCACCGGACAACAACCTGAGTGCTCATCAACTATATTTTATTTTAGTATAATGTGGTGGGGAAGGTGGAGAGGGTAGAAAGAAAAAATGCCAGCAGTGCTTTCCTGGCATACACACTTTTCTTCCCTTTCTGGGGAATTTTTTTCATTTCTTTTCTTCTGTCTCAGCAAAAATTTAAAAGATGGAGTCACTACAGTGCAGATCTCATATTGTCACTGAATTAGAGGTAGTAAAAAGCAGGCAAAGGACCAGAATGTTTCTTAGCCATGTCAGCCTTTTGTGTATGATCTCACAGGCAATCCAGGAAAGTAGTAGTCTCTGATCAGTATTAAGAAAGTTTAGTGTGATGACCTGACCAGTAGATCCCAAAAGAATGATCAAGAGCTAGATGTGATATGTTTTTACAGATGCTCACCTGTCTGAAACACAGGGCTTCTGCCAAGAGGAGACAGACAGAAGCTCTGATGATCAATGCTGGTAGTTTCTCCGGGGCAAGAGGTAAAAGCAGGGAACTGCTGCAGATTCTCTAAAGCAATATGGACCTCTGGATCTAGAAAGAGGTTTTTAATTAAAGCACTACACAATGTGGGGGAAGACTGTCAATATGCAAGTTGTTTCAGGAGTCTAGGAGGTGCCAACTCAATTTTCTTTCCACCCTCTATTTCAGAGTCCAGTATAGCCCTGCTGCTGGATGGAAGCAGTTCCTAGGCATTTTTTTTCCACTTTTCACTCTATACTGCGATTACTATAAAAACAGAAGTTAAGAATCCTGAGAGCTATATACACCATGGAGATTGGTATGCCCTTGAATGCCCTGTCTCTCCCATAAAGTGCAAGTATGCAGGAACTGCATAACATCATTTAACATCCTGACTAAAACAGCTTATATTTTTCACTCTACAGACATTGTTTCTAATACCTTGTAATCTTGTTCTAAGTACACCCTATAAACTAAAAGCCTTAGAGTTTATCCTATAGCTCAAGAAATCATCTCAGCAACTAAAGATGATTGGAAATCCACCAGTTATGCTCAATCATGACTTACATTTGCCTTGTTTCTTGTTTTCTTCTATCTCAATTCTGCGTTCACGTCGTCGTTCATCACGAGCTTTCTTCTGCCGTAGACGTTTCCTCTTTTCAAGGTCATCTAGGAGCAATGCACAGCATTGGATATCAAAAACCTCCCACACCAATACTTTGGCAATATTTTCTCCAGCTTTGAGAACAACATATTCAGTTATAACACATTAGTAACAAAATATGCTTACAAACAACATATGTTCTTCCAAGCAGTCAGGTTCTTTCATTCTTCTTATAATTGTTGTCTATAAAACAGTGAATTGGGGTTGTTCCGTCTAGTAGTCATCAGACAGTTGGTGCAAGAGGAGTAAAGCTGCTATGTATGCTCTTTTTTCTGCCACTAAAGGATAAGAACTACTTCCCCTTCACCCTCATGGATACATGACAGAGCCAACTAGAAAGGTAGTACCAACCTGAAAATAACTCTAAAGTCTCCTTAGAGATGATGGGTGGCTTCAGAGCCAGTTCACAAATGCTGAACTCACACGTGAGAGGCAAGTGACAGAGGTAACGATGACGCTGTCTTATATCCTGATTCAAAAAAAAAAAAAAAAAGAGCAGATCTATCATCGCAACAGGGTCTAGAAGTTGCCATAGTGATAAATTGCTTATGGAGATAGAATGGCCTCCATTCATCAAATCAAATGGAAAAAAAGTAGCAGCAGTGACACGATAATCACTTTATAAACTACAAACACGTGAAGGATGCCCTGGGTCAGAACCAAATGCTTCAAGATCTTCACAAACTACATCATAAGATTTGGATGCAGTTACTCCAGCTCAGGTACTGCTTTTTTTGTTATTCCTCCCTTCTCTCTCACAACACTGGAATAAAAATCTACAATGTCATCCCTCTGATGAGTTTATTTTTGCACTGGACCAAATTTGCCTTATACACTTAAATTACTTGGACCTACAACCACCACTTTACTCTGCTTCTTCTTTCAGTCTAGTTTTGTATCTTTCCTCACAGAGACCAAAAACTTGAAGACAATTCCCTACTACCTCTGTGTCCATTCTTACTTGAGCATATCCTTTCTTAAAGATTAATTAAGAATTATATACAGCTGTTACCGCACATGCCAATTCTTACAGGTGCCTCTGTCAGAGGAAAAGGAATTTAAGACCCATCCCCTTCAGTGCCTTCTGCACTTTCACTCCCTCCATCTCAAACACTGAAGTTTCTTTCCATCCTCTATTTTCGTAACATCCCACCTCTACCCTTGATGCTCAGAAACAACTGTTTGTTCAAGACAGAGGCAGAACACTTCTTCAGGTTGAGAAAGATGATAATCTGTCTAGTTCCAGCTACTGTCCTATATGAGGAAATAATTTACTTTTAAGACAGCTTTAACAAGAAACCAATCCTAAGCTTGCAATTCTCTTACTCCTAGAATTTCCTACCTTCTAGGAAAAAAAAAAAAGCTAGACTGCAGCCTACTTATCAAAAGCAACTTAAGGTACTGCACCTTACACAGATGTCCTTCATAGGTAAGCATGCCTACCCATTCATAGTTATTATTTCTTATTACTGAAGAGAAACAAGTCTCACCTGTCAGCCACAATGACCAATCTGCTAAAACAAGAGCCCTTAATTAACAAGAAAATAAAATAACTACCTCTGTCATTGAGTAGCCAGTTATCTCCACTACAGCTGCAGTTATCTTCTCCGGACTCTTCTCCAAGCTGCCATATTCACGAACAAGACATCGAACATTCACAGGGTGAAGATACATACACTGTCCATCCTCCGCTATAAGATAAAATATGGTATCATCACTTGTTCTTTGCCTGTTAATTTTCAATACCCTTTCTCCCCATCTCAGTATATTCTCCAGTAATAAAATTAAAGCTCCTTTCTGAGTTTCTGTGGGAGTTCTCCATCACAGGGTTTAGCTGCATCTAAAAAAATGAGAAACATCTTCCTCAAGAAGGATGCCAAAGGAGGCATCTCTGTCTGCATGATTCCAGGATTTCATTGCACTGACCTTGATAGAAATAGTAAAACGGAGAGTTGCTAAGATGTCCACTGCTAATTGGATCTTTAGATTCTTGGTAGCTTGTTTCAGTTGGATTTGGTTCTTCTGTAGTGTTGTTATCAGATTCCCCTACAGTGCCCACGTCAGGTACCTCGTCTTCATCCAGCACTACCTCTTCTGCTTCCACAGGAGGCAAAAAGGAACTTGCCAGATCTGAGCAAGGCTCCACAAGCTCCTCATCAAATGCAGACAGATATTCCACACCACACTACCACAGCAGAGAGTATACAGTTAGTATCACAACACCTCCTTCAAAAGATTATAATCTCTGCAAAAATCTTTGGCACCAGTTCACCATACTCTGCAGAATGTGGCAGAAATGCGCCACTGGCAAAGTGGCAGAATTAAGTACTAACAAGATCTGCCAGAGCAGAGCTGTCACCCACCTTCTTCCCTTGGGAAACTGCAGGCTCCAGAGCCTGGGAGCTTTCTAGGACCAATTCTTCCACAGCTGCACTGATTCCAGCAATGCCATTGTTTTTATCCTGGTCAGCAGAGAGTGCTGTTTCTCGCTCCTACAGGTCATCCAAAGAGAACAAGTTTCAATTTTCCAGGTGGTAGCCAGGAGACTACCACCATAGTTATTTTTAGCCTTGTCCTATACTTCAGGTTGTCATAGATCTATAATTCATCTGTGACAAAGAGTGATCCTTGAAGAGAAGTCCTCTCCTTCTTATTACTGTAAAGGACACCCACTGCAGGACGGCTAAAGGCTTTGAAAAGGAATATTCTCCAGATTTGCTTATGTTTACCTGATAGAAGATATCCCAGAAATTGCTGGATCTGAAAGCTAAACGCATCTTCTTTTGAAAGCAGAACTCTCTTACGTTTACGGAAGGAGTACCATTCAGTAAAAAGCATCCTGTTCTATCTTGAACATCATGCCAAATACCTGAGGTCCAAAAGCTATAGTCTTCTCCAAGATTTATAATGCTTTTCTAGCAGCAAACATCACCACCTTGCTAGTATGTACATCATAGACAACCACTTATGCAGCAGAACATAGATGCTTAGCACTCAGCATACTGTTACAAATGAATAAAGCTGCCAAAGAGGGTCTCACCTTCAGTTCCTGGATAGCCGCCTCGATAAAGCAAGCCTCTGGGGTGTGTTTTTCTTCCTCATACTGTTTTAGTAATGCCGCTTTCTCCTCCAGAATCACCAGCTGCAAGACCTGTTCTCTGGATGCCAGAAGCAGCTTTGAATACTGACTGTGCTGGTCATCTGAACAGAAGGAGCACCAAATCATTAATATCTGCATATAGAGGCACCAATTTGAACTGCTGTTTCTTCTGAAGTTTTGTTACGGCTCAATTTTGTGAGTTAGTCCACTTCAGGGTGGACAATACTTAGCAAGAGTTTGATACAGACTCCACATATTACCATTATATCACTGATGACACAAGCTGGTGCCACATACCTGCTCTGCTACACACATCTCCCCCACACAGCAGTTCATCTGCCACTTCACCACTCAGCTGCTACACATAAAAAAAAAAAAAAAGTCCAAACTTCTTTGCTGTGGAAGCATTGCCAGTCTGCAGTTTCCTCCTCTTCTCTATATACTAAAAAATACTGCAACTGGAAAGTTCTGCAAGAGTGACCTCTGTTTTGTCTCAAACTAGTTCATAAACCTGTATGTATTCAAAATCCATGCAAAACATTATTATGACCTTTTTAGAAAAGGCACAGCAGAAATAGTAAACTAAAGACTTGCAAGTTCAGCAAACTGTCTTTGTTACTAGACAGCTTACCTCAACTACAAACTTTACAGCAACCATAGCATCACACACTAGTACAGTCCATACATCCACTGCTCCCTAAAGGTCCAACCTTGTCTACAGAACACCAAGTTATTGCTGAATTTCCTGGGTTTAGAATGATCTCAAATCCCGTATTTGTTCTTTTGTTTTATGAAAGGATTTAAAGTCCTTTACTTTCAAGTACTGAGGAACATGCAAGCACACACCCTGCATGCTGGATACCCATCATGTGTTAGGAGACTTGACTTTTTAGAGAGCTTAAATGCATGCAGCCTTTCACAAATGTGCCTGCAAAATGAAGCAAGCCAAGGCAGCCCACAAAACAGCAATGCTAAGTAAAATTATTTCTTTAGTCACAAAATTTTTCGTGATACTAACAGATAAGACGATGATGTGTTAGTCACATTACTTGACTGGAGAAAACTGAAGTCAAGCAACAGATGTTTGGAATAGGTTTGCAATAATTTTAATTATTTTCCCATATCATTCACAGATTTTCGTTGGTAAGTGAAGATGATGAAAAGCTTGTTGAAGATTACATCCTTGAAATAACTTAGACACGGAGACAGTTATTTTTGCTAAGCTGTATAATGTGGAGCCAGGAGGAAAAAAAGAGTTAAGGACACTGAAAAGCCAACAAAAGCAGCAAGAGTCACACTAATGACTGCACAATACCAAATACACATCAAACTAATGATTGAGAAGGCAGGAGTCTGCAGTGCAGTAACTTGAAGAGAAACAGCACACAAGTTAAAGCCTTACAAAGTGTGGGTAGAAAGCTTATTATTAAGATATGGTCATTAAGGTTTTCAGCTGTTAAAATCCAGGTTTCGTAGCCTGGTCTATTTTAAGGTGACAGCAAATAACAGCTTTGCCATAGAAAAGCCTCTCTACACAAATCCTAGTCACAGTTCGGAGCAGGATGCCAACCACCAGTACTCAGATACACTCACCTCTGATGTAAACCGGCTGCACCACATTCATCCACTGAGATTTGGGCAGTGCTATCAGAACACCTTTCTCTCTTCTCATAAGTTGCATTGTAATGGTATCACCAATTGCATATTGACGTGTTTCCATAGCAACAACACTGCAATGTAAGGAGGAGGTTAGTAGGGTAAAAATAACATTTCAAAAAGATACATAATTTAATAAATATCAAGCCTCACCTCTTGAGATCCTTCTTGTGAACAGAGCTGTAACAAATAGGGCATTTACTCCAGGTCTTTTCACTCAAGGAGAGATAGTGAAGGATACACGCCCAACAAAAGATATGCCCGCAGCGGGTGATCTTTGCTGCAGTAGGTGGGTACAGACATATTGGGCAAGAGGGCACTTCATGGCTACAGATTCGCTGAAATGGCACGTGAGAAGAATAATACAAGTTTTAGACTTGAAAATCAGTTCCTGTGCTACAGAATAAGCAACCTGTAAGATCTACTCTAACATATTAACCTTCCAGCTCTTTAGGCTTATTTACCAAGAAATTAAGTACACTGTGAACTAAATAACACCTTCAGACTGCACATGGAATAACCTTCAAAGCCACCCATCTGGTACTTCTACTATAAATGACATTAAAAAAGTGACTCTTCTCATGTTTCCCCTCATGTATTCATCATCTATAAGAGTTAGCAGCATCTTCATCATCTGAATTCAGACACTGAGAAGACAGCAAATGAACTCTGTTGCCCCACTTACACAAGCAGACTTGTGCAGCCCTGTTAAACTGCAAGACTGAACTTGCCTATTGCCATCAATATGCTAATTTTGTCAAACACTTTGTTAGCATCTGTATGTTGCAAAGACATAACTGCCAAGCAAGCAACTAGATTTTTCAGCACTCTTGTAGTGTCAGTGTAACATTAAGCCTACCTCCTTTCCAGCTACACCATACAAAATAACTAGTCTTGGCAAATAATAAGTTTCTACTTGAGGCAACCCAAAGTTCTGACCACAATTCTCAAGAGATTTTTCCGTTTCGTTGCTAGGCAAGATGGGCCACCTATGCACAGAATAATTCTTCAAAATTCTACACTCTAGTCCTCTTCCGTGGACTCATGCCCAAGTTTTCTGTTAATATCTCGATCACAAGGACTCTGTCTACAGAATGTCAGATACTATTTTTGATGTGTTCCCATCTGCGAAAGCAAGAAGAAGCTGCTAATTTTCCTAATAGATTTTAGCACTTCTCTCTTCCTGTCATGAAAGTATTTCATAATATATTCCATGACAGATCTTTCCCAGTATTGTGGGAGTGACAGAAGAAGCCTCAACTCAAAAACAGCTGAGTTTTACGTAACATCACAGAGATAGAGAGGCAGTTAAAGACAGGTTGAGCTTCTTAATAATAATTTAAAAAATCTGGCCCATCAAAACTGACCACTTGCTCCACAAAGTCCCAGTTGACCAAGGTATCTGGATCAGCAAAGTGGACTGTGTAGTCCTGTTCTTCAGAGACAACAAACTGGCAGCTGGGGAAAGGCAAAGAGACAGATAATCCACTCAGTTGTTTCTAAATATTCTTTGAGAACTATCCTATAGGATTCTCTGAGCTGCTTCTTTGTACAGCAGAAAACTGATGGATGCAGTCAGTAACTTCTACCAACAGAACCCAAGACAGTTCAATTTATAACCAGACTTCCAGAATACAGGTATATCTAAATTCAGTTAGACACAACATCACATACTAACTACAGAATGAGTCAGGCAGAGTGGTTTTCCACAAACATGTAATAAACAGCCAGCTCCATCAGGGATCTACTGAAAAACAGGGAATCTACAAGTGGAAAAAATATACTCACAAAAACTAGAACTACTGGGGCTCCTGCAAATAGACTTGACTAAAATAAGTCACAAAACAATAGGGAAAATAAAATTAGAAGCATCAATGCTGAAAATAGTTTTCACTATCTTTAACATGATCAGATACAGGAAGTCCTGAACACACTTCAAATTCAGGTGAAAGCGACCATTCTTCCCGGTCAAAAGCAATTCTGCTGCTGGATTACTATACTGATCATCATTTGCGTTATACTACTTACCTAGGGGCCTGTAAAATAACCAGCAATTTAAGAACTAAGAACAATATGAGTAATTGCTTCAGTGACTTACAAATTCAGAGTAGCTTTGATCCAGCAACTGCTACCCCTATCGTCTCAATATACTACTTTTTGGAAAAAACAATTGTCTTCCAAGGGAACTACACAGGTCTTCCCAAATGGAGTGTCATATTCCACAAGAGATGCCAGAAAATTAGAGCAGAAGACTAACTGGTTTGTATCTAAAGTACTCACTCCATCAGATACCTTGCAAATAGGTAAAGACGACAACTTGATATATTCTCATCCCTTTCAAGTATAGTCATTACCACTAAAAACACTACAGAGGTAACTTCACCCTAGAGAAGTCAATACAAGCAGTCAAAGTCAAACACAATTCCCTGGCTGATCATCCCTTACAGTTCAGTGTCTCTGTAGAAGCCTAAGAGCCCTGCTAGTCTTCCACTCACTTGGCCTGTAGGAAGAGCTCCTTGTTGAAAGGCTTATGTCCCCACTTGTTCCTTTTCCCCCAGTTGCCGTGTCCATTCCCATCAAAATGGCCTGCTTGGCCACGGGGTTCAAAAGTGAAGTTCAGTAAGTGGTTCAGATTAATCTTCTTGGGACCAGAGAATTGGGCAGGGCTGAACTCTGCCCGCTGAGCCTCTGCTACCTAAGAGACAAGGGCATTTATTAGAACTTGCTAGAATTTACTGCAAAAGCATCAGTACAAGTTGATATCCATGCCCCACCAGTGATTATGTACAGAATACAGTATCCACTCACTCACCTTCTCCCATTCCAGTTCTGCAAATCAAGTAGTGCAGCATTAGAAGTGCATGAGAACCTGAAAGTTAGAACTGAGTGGTCTTAGCCCACACTGATCAAAAGGAGGAGAGCATAAAAGCAACCCAGGTAAGGACAAGCAAAAGCTAGCAAAATCTAGCAAAGTTAGTTACAGAAGAAAGTTGTTTGAACTCTAACATTCTTTTAGGTAGTCAGTAATACAAGTCTGATTAGTGTTTGCACAGGTTGTACTTGTTTTGGTTAGTTTTCATATAATGAAGCAAAGAATAAGAATTCAACAAACAGCAGGTGAGTTTTGTTACAGTCAGCAATTTAGGTGAGCAGTATTGCTCATCCACTAAAACCAAAAAAAAAAATCACAGTCCTCTGTGTCGATGAAAACCCACCAATACTCTACAGTACTTAAACCCACATCAGCATAAAAGCCTCACTCTGGTTTTACTTCATCTCGATGTCACCAAGGCTAATACAATTACTTTCCCAATACCAGTATCACATACAAATTTGTACACTGATGTGGTTAGACACAATCACCTCAGACTTAAAAACCAGAAATCATATCACTCGATATTTTCACGAAGGACCTCTGTTTCACGAGCTATGTACATGGCCTGTCTAGGTACCCATTCCTCAGATGGTACTTTTTATTCCAAGTCTCTCAGAGCAGAGAGCACTCCTCTTCTGTTGTTGCAAAGTTGTTCTGCTCACACTCACTCTGGCATCTCAACGATGTTAGCACCTCTTATCGCTCTTTCCAAAAATTCCCTTCCCAGCCCAGGAGCTGAACACAGAAGACCTATCTAGGCAGGTCAGAGTGATCCTCTCGTCCCAAGAAAGAAGGCCTTGGAGGCACGGCATTACAATTCTCACCTCATCTCGTCTTCCACCATTACAAGAGCTAAAAAGTTTGCCACTTCCGCCGCTACCTCCCCTTTGAGGAGGCATCTTGTTAAAAGCTTTGCTTTTCTGTGAATTGGAGCGACGGGACTGACTGGAAAAGTTCTCATTTTTTGAATACGAAGTTTCTCTTTTACGATTATAACGCTGTTTGGATCCACTCGCATTCTTTCCATCTGAAAGAAAAAAAATACCCAAGAATCTGATCAGCAGCCTCAGAGTTGTCCACACGTACAGCACCTCAGTCAGCTTCACCTCAGAGACATGCTCACCTTGGCCACTGCCTTGGGCCCTGGTTAAAAGGATATCAAATCCCGCCAGCAACCCAAACCGTTGCATTCCTATCACCGCCCAAAGAACTGGTCAAGGAGTATAAAAGAAGGATGTATTTGCTATGTTTTATCTTTTATTAGAATAGTTGAATTTTCTTTATCCAGATTAGGAATTGCCGTCACCAGACGTTAGCATGTTGCCTGGTCCATTAAGTGACAAACAACAACACCACATCTTCATGCCCATTACAAAAATTGACAACTACTTCATTTTTTCATTCTATTTTCTGAAAACACACAATTTATCATATGTTATTCCCTTATACAAACATAGAGCCCTACATTTGTCTCAAGGTTTCCCACTTTGCAAGACCCCATTCCCTGTTTCCACTCAGTTCTGCCCCCTATCCTTAAAAGACCCCACCAGATCTAATTCTGTTCTAAAAATACCCTTTTCTTTCACAAGGCCAACAAATGCTTATCGAAGCACAAATCTAATGCTTTGGCCTTGCAGGGCACATATCTAATATCTAAGTACTAAGTCCACCAACCTATGCAATGAGAAGTGTTTGCCCAAAAGCATGCTAAGCGCACCACTGACCCCAACACAGGACACAGTGGTGAAAGCACAAAGCAAAGTACCGCAGGAATAAAGTTCACAAAAGCAGAAAAATCAGCCAGGCTCTTTAGAGGGGGGGTTCCTGTGTCTGAACAGCTGCTTCATTAGACTGCTAGAAGAGAAAATTAACACTATGATAGTCTTAACACAAGATCACAGTTGCCCCAAGGACACAACAGACTGCTTACCTGTCACTTAACCTAGCATTTCCAGCAAATGCCCTAAGTTTTATTTGTAGAAGAGATATGTTGATAAGCTTGGAAGCAAAACTCCACAGGCTCAGCGAGACGTCTATCCACGTCAGCTAGCCCCAAAGTCACTCCGGATACTCAGTAAGCGTTACACAAACAGTAACGCCTCATAACATCTAGATTCATTTTATAAAAGCCTACTAGTTTTCCTTTTCCCACTTAATAGTCCTCCCCACCCCTTAATATAAAACTTAATATGGTAGGCAAACATGCCACTATGATTCAGGATCGTGTTTCTCATATGTGTAGTTTTCATTACCTTCGCCTCCAGTTTCCCCCTTCCCTGGCACCACCTCCAATCTACCCAAGCTTCTAAAACAGCTGGAATGGGATCATTCATACGAAGTCCCACTTTCTTGTTATTTTTAGATTTCTTTCCCACCTGCACCCCCAAAGAGGGGGGAGCAGTGGACTGGAAGGTCTGTGTGTTATTGTACATTACTGAGGATCTGAATTCTAAAGAGTAAGTTAAGTAATAAAAGTGGCTTGACTGCATTTTGTGGTGGTCTACTGTTTCTTGCACGTGGCAGACTGCAGTCATTGCCTGCAACTACAGCTATAGACGTAAAAGGACACTATAATTACTTTCACATGATGTGACAGCCATTTTGCAGACAAAATTCATCACCAGAACTGGTCATGCTATTCAAAAGGCTGATCCTTTAATTCAGAATTAAACCAACACCATCAGAACCACAGATGTGTAACTCAAACACATGCTTGCATAGCTTGCAGTGCTGTAATGCTCGTCAGGCTAAAAAAACATGGGTTTAGCGTTATCAGGAAAATAACACCCCAGAAGCTGCCAAGTACTGAGGGTGTGACCAGGTCTGGCTGAATGATTATTTAGATAGAACTTTTTTGAGAGTGTTCGTAGGGAAGAGGCTATAATCAACACCACCGAGTCTATGGTAAATAAAATAAGTCATTTTGAAGAGGTTTGGACTACTACTTCAGTTATTCAGAAGCAAAGCTTGTCAGTTTAGAGCTCAGCCACCCTCTTAAATCTCCAGTTTCAGTGAAGGTGCTAGCGAGGTACGTGCCTATTGTGCCTACAGCAACTTTGTAGTTTCTCTGCAATCATCAACTAGGGCAAAGAAACAACTCAAGAGAAGTTCAGTCTAAAGTGGGTCTTTAAAAGGCCCAGGAACAAGGAACAGCTTGCACCTGCAGCTGACAGAAGAACTTCCTACCACTTATAGTTTTAATCAAGTTAGTCACCATGAAATTTGTCAGTCAGCTGGTTTACACACATTCCTGTCATACTACAGGTCCTTTCAAACCAACTCCTACAACCTTTGGGAGTCACTATAATGACTCCCACATTTTATATGAAATTCTTCTCCACCTGTGCCATTTTTAAGAAGGACCTTACATGACAGTCTAACAATGCTTCAAACCTGATTTTATTGATTGCAAGTTTCCCCTCCCAGAATAATTACCCTCATGAGGATTCTGGTCCACCAGAGCGCTAATGAAATCAGTCAACAGACAAACAAGAGTTTGGAGTATGCATTTGTTGGAACACTTTTTCCCCACCCTGAATCTAAGCAATGCTGTTCCTTCAAACCTTTTTAGCGTGCAACATGTCAGGGAGCTCTCTGCTTTGTACCATCCCTCCTTGCATTTCCCATAAAGAGCGGGACAGGACAGGGCTATCTGCACTCAGATAAGCGGAAGATTCTCACTGCCATCCTCTCGTTAGATCCCAATTTTAAGTAGTGTAGATTTGGATTTGGGAGTTTCTTTTTTCCTTCTTTTCTTGGCAAATTAGGAACGAGCAACAGCGCTGGTGAGGTATTTCCTCTTCACCCAGGTCTTCTGTTAGTCCTTTTGCCATTAGTTCTTACAAGATCTAACCTATAAAATATATCTACCCATCCACACTCTAAAAGAACAGACTTAGGAAACATACTGTCTATATAATTTTACAAAACTAGCAACAAATCCGTTCTTGCTTTTCAGAACAAGCCCTGACATCTGTGGTTTCTCCTGCTGGATGCCACATTCTGTTAGAGAACCTCCATCTCCAAAGATCAAGAGAGAGGAGATCAAGTTCACAGGACTCAATGCAACTCTAGGTGACCACTTCAGTCCTGGAGCTGCAGTACTGGTTTGCTACTGAGGTGAGGACTGCAGTTTCCTTCCACCTTTCTTTGCCTCTTCAGCTGAGCCATGTTGAAGCATAAAGGGTTTGGGTGGTGGATCACACTAAGCCCCAGGGTGATTTCATGAAAACACACTGAAGTTATTGCTGCTGCTAAGGCAAACAGCCCAGTGAACAAGAAGTATATCTGAGCAGTCACGCACCCCAGCTAAGCATGCTCACAACACAATAATAAGGCCCAGGAGCATTTGCAAGGACTAATGTTGTCCATCAGGTCTCGAGGACTGCAGAGAAACCCAACAAGCCTATCTTCCCTTAGCTACTTTATTCCATCCTAATGGGATGTGACTCCTGTTGGTGCACTAACATAACCCAAATAAACTTATCTGTTGGAAACTTCAGAGTTTAATTTAGTCTCTAAAGACAAGTTTGGAAGGTGGCTGGAATCCAAAATCCACAAGTACAAGAGCTTACAGTATTCTATTTAGCCCATTTCAAGCTGTGCTGCAAAAGAAACAGAAGGAGAAGCTACCGCAAGGTTTCATGAACATCTACATCATTTCCTCCGCTGGACTTGATCACAGCAGGTAACCCTTGAAAGCATCTAAATGGCAAGAGCTTGACTAGACTCAAATCCAGTGACCATCAGTAATGCAACAAAAGGTCAGCATTTCAGGGATGGTCTGTGGTCCATCAATACTACTTTCCATTTCAAAGGAGACACAAGAGTTTCAGAATACCTCCTATACCTTTCCTGAAACAGGACAGAAATTGCATGGACCACATCAGCGACAGGTAGAATGGCAAGGAACTCAAGAAAGAATATCCCGTATGGTGACATGCCAGTGTCTTGCGTGCAACAGCTACCAAAACGTAGCCACAATTTTAACACAGCTGCACCCCATATGTTCATCCTAAGCTGACCATGGAATCTTCTCATTTTAGTTTTCAGTACCCTCCAGTTAAGATATGTACATCAACTAAAAGAGATTCGAATTTTGCCAGCTCTCTTCGGTGCATCATAAAGGAAGCAACTCATTCCATATCCCTTTGCCCTCCATTGTAGTTAAGAAACAAGCATCTTAGAAGCAGAATGATGTCAAAGCCAAAATCTTAATTTTTTTTTTTTAAATAGGTCTTCAAAAAAGTTTTTTTTTTAATTAAAGGTTAGTCTATTGTATTGGAGTAGAAGAGTATTGTACATCAGGATTTCTCTCCTCACTGTTCCTCTGCTACTAGTGCCTGTAAAAGGTGGCATTCCACAAAAATCACTTAGCACTTTTATTTTGGGCTGCAGTGACAGGCCTTTTATTCCCTTCCTCATTACAAATACTGTTTCTTCTACATGAAGGCATACTAGCCACAGGACAGGCCATCTTAACTACTTACTGAAGGATGTTTATATTCTGTGAACAATCCTCCATACAGCATCACAAATCACTAAAAAAGAAGCTGTAGTGATGAGGTATCTCTTGGCGAGACAGGGACAGAAACCATTTCTGCACAACATGAAAACCCGACATCTCATAGCCTTTCACACTGCCTCTCACAATATAGTTTATATACTTTGTTATTCCATCAGAAGCCAAAGATTTGGTTCTAAAACTTTTATTGAACACCTAGCACATGATATCCCCTACTTCCATTGGTCTGTTCATTAGAAGGGAAAAAAAATTAAATAAGAGACTGAAAAACAACAGCAGTAGCTAGGGATAATAAGACCCCCACATCTAAATCTGTTGCTGATGCAAAACACTTTGCAAATCAGTTAGTTCTTCCAGAAATGACTGCGTAAACTGTTCTTCCTAAGAAAACTTTCATGTGTTTGAATTCAAAGTTAAAACTTCACTGTAATCGCACAGTCACACCACGACCTGGGAAGCTGTGGGTGAGCCACCTCCCATGTCACTCACTTCAGCCTACTGTGCAGGAGATCAGTTAATACAGGTGAAGAACAGGTAATACTTGGTTACCCAGGATCCAAGTGCATTTAGAAGGTCCAAAAAGGAGTCAACACCTTCAAGATACTCCCTCTGGAATACACTGTTGCTTTCTCAGAGATCTGAAGTAATGCAGCTGAAACAAACCACTGAGGAGGAAGGAAATTAGTACAGCAGTGGTGTTGGAGCAACCTGTTGACACTCTCATGCATACTTCCAAGACTAAAAACACTCATTTTAATCACTACCACCGCATTTCTAGGTTTTAGAAAAAAATGCAAGGTTGCCAGAACACTCTGCTCCCAAACCGCTTTAGAGAACTGAAGGTGGCTCAGGTCTTACCTTGAAAAGATAGATGACAGGAACCTTAATGGCTCCTCAGGAACTGCTATGTCAGCAAAACTAGCTGTTTGCAATGACGGACGTAACACTTTGGTTTAAATGCCAGATAAGCAAACAATATGTAACTAACTCTGAACTCCTCCAAAGCAGACTACTGAAATACAGCTGGTAAGGGGAATGCTGTGTATCGTCCTCAGGAAACATGTAAAAGCCCACTCGAGTATATAACAAAGGTAAGGTTTCTCTCAATAAGCACTGGCAAACATACACTCTTGCTATAAAACCAGAGTTTTGGCTCTAACACCGATTACTCCAATGCTGATGGCGATAAAGCATTAATCCTTAAAGGAAGAGGAGGCTAGGAACCACAGCCTACCTAACAGTGAACAAAGCCAGAAGAGGAAGGAAAAAGAAAGCAAAAACAAGCAGTGACTTGAAACGAAACCTATTAAAACCCGGCTGAGAGACAAACAACCCGACAAGGAGAAGTTCAGCTCCACGATAAGCCCAACCCCAGCACAAGGCCATCGGCCCCACAGCCCCACGCTGCTCACTCGCGGAGGAACGATTACCCCGTTCCTCCCTCCCTAATTTCCCCCACTTCCCACCCACCAGCGAGATCCAAGGTCCGCCGAGTGGCCATCGCGAACGGCCTGAAAGCCCCGGGACCCCCCGATCGCGGCCAGGCACTCACCGCTGCCCCAGCTCTTACCGCCTTTGGGCTTAGACTCCCCCGCGGCGGGCCCGGCCGAGGCGGATCGCGGCTGCTGCCCTTTGCTGCCGGCCGAGGAGCCGGGCGCAC